AAAACGTGCTGTTGATAATCCCTGAGTCCAAAATAGATGAATGCTTTATTTTTTTTCCCCCACAAGTCTCCTCTGTCAGAAACTCTTCATAATCAAATTTCTTGTTTAAGACTGTAACTTTTTAATTTTGGGTAAGCTTTATTAGCATTCCTCAAAACATATTACATGCCACCCTACCATATTTTTCTGGCTTCTGTGCAGCACTGTGTAACACCATGTGTACCATGTGAGATACAAATCCTATTATATTTAGAAAATATGACCAGTCTTCATTACAAGAGCGTGTACAACATCTATTAAAGGATTCAGAAACATTTTTTGTTGTCTGGTTTAGAGCCAGCTTGCAAATGTATGTACAATAGGGCTTTGAAATGATGAATGTGTCATCATTGGACCCAAAAAATGATTCATTGTGAAGCAAACTGATCAAAGTCAGGAATTTAGAAGCTCACCATCCTTAAGGGATGCAGACCTCCGGTTCTTTGGAATTGAAATGCTTTGCTTGAGCTTGAAGTAAAGGAAGAGATCTGTGTCAGTTCAGTGTATAAATTTTTTAATCCTCCAAAGGTAAAAAGGAGAGAAATTTTACTTTCTGATGAATAGGCATGATGTGAATGGGAATACCTATGTTAGTTTATGCAGCGGTGTGCATAAGAATTACAAAAAGCCCATCAAACCTTTAAACTTCTAAATGTTTGGCTTTAAATCCAGTGAGTGAGAACAGTATGTAAGGTTAACACAGTCTGTTTCTTCTGATGCCAAAATGGTTATGCAACCAGCTCCAAGTTGTTAACTGTCCTTTTTCAATCCCTTATGCTGACCTCAATTCAAACTGACTTTCGATTTTAATTCAACTGAATATCGACATCATTGTACCTTGAAGTGATGATTCCGAGTTGTGTAATAGCATGTATATTATCAGAAAGCGTGTTGCTTTCTGTGCTCTATATAAAATGGAGGCAATTTATTAATCATTAACATGAAAAAACTGCTTAAATTTCCAAACAGTCTGAGGACAAACTGTGATCTTCCTCATCAGTCAAGTCAATAATATTATTCTAGATATGTCCTCAAGGGTAGCAAAATCAGAATCTGCACAAGATATAAAGACTAATTTTTATTCCTAAGTAAAGACCTTATGAAAGTAAATTCATAACATAACAGTATATTTTAAATTTTATGTGTATGTTTACATATACAGAGAAAATTCCTGCACATCCTGATCTATTTTCTCTTTCTTGAGTAAATAAAGTACAGAGTGGAAATTTTTCACAATTTAACTTTAAAAATGTATTTTCCTCTGTCTGCCTATTGTGAATGGAGTTGAAATGGAACATTTGATATGGATATAATATTCCATCAAAGTTCATTTTTTATCTTAATAAAATTGGTTTATTTACAATCATCATTATTCTAAAGGAGTAGTTCAGTCTGTAGAACACAGGAGAATAACATAAAACAAATGGAGACTTCAGATAATGTATGAAATCCTGACAGTTTAATTTGGAAAGACTACTTGGATCTTCTTGTCAGGTCCTCTCTTTTCACATCAAAAGGAGCAATGAGAAAAATGAAGTTTACTGAGTGTTATGGTAAAAATGGAAGCATTATGATTTCCTGATTTAATTTGAAAAGTTGAAGTACCTCTCTAAGTTATGCCCATAGTCTTGTCTTATCTTTCTTCTTAACCCATTTTATTGTCCAGTGAAATAATTCTGAAAATTCCTTTTGTAATCCAAATTCAGCGTTAGGTCAATGATAGCTTTTGGGTTGGTATTTTTAAGCCTTATTAATACAGGTGTCCTTTGACCTAGAAACCTATTTTGATGTGATAATTCAAACTATTTTTTTAACCTCTGTCTGCAGTTTGTTTTATATGCAAGTCTTTACTTACAATTGAAATATTATTATTGCGTAAATAATATAAAGACTTGGAAGAAACATTTGAAAACACTTCACTTCCCCCATTAGTGGGAAGTCATTGATGGAGGAAGATACTGGATCAGTCTCTTCCTAGTAGAAGATCGTACAGTATGTAACTGTCTTGTGATTAGCAAGAGATCTTTTGTTGAGCTCTTGAGAAACCGTGTGTTCAAAAAGACTTAGTTCCTGCTTGCAAATCACAGTTCAAAGGCCTTCTTTCATATGCTGTCAAAGGGTTTTCATTCTCTGAGGGGTCAATGAAGTTGTTCCTAGTTAATTATTCAAAAGTAACACCTTTGGGCCGTCCTTTTAATTTTTTTCCAGGTGTCATAAACTGCAGATTTTGAGCAAGAAATAAATTTAGCTACAGCACAGTAGGCCTTTTTAAAAGCCAGCAGCTTCTGCAAAGGATTGTCAAGAACAATCTACAAGGAGACTAGTTTTGGCATATAGATTTTGAACTGAAACAGTACGGAAAGGAAGTGCTACTTGCCAGCTCTCACCACCATATGCTGTATTATAATGTAATGTACAAAGAATATGGAGACAGCAGCTGCTGTAGAAGGAGGTGGCCACTTGTTAGATTTTGAAACCTTTCTGAAATGTCTGTTCATTTTCTTTTCACTGGTATCTTTTCCCCTTGCTTACGTATTTGCATTTGAAAGATGTTCACTAAAAAAATTATTTTTAGACTACAGTGAGAAGAGTATGATCTACTTTTTGTTGAAATAAAAATTTTAGAAAGACTCTAATATTTAGGTTTATGTCTTGTGAAATGTGGACAGATTTTTATTTTCTCAATATCCATTCGCATCAGGGCATAATGAAATCATATGTACAAATTAACTATCATCAAGGATTGTATGTCTTTGATGGAAAGAAATAGATGTCTTTAATTGGTTTCCAGTGTGTGTTTTCTAGTGGCTTGATCACATTCACATTTAAGTCAATGTCAAGATTCACTGACTTCAGTGGCAGAGAAGCATAAATGAAGATTTAGATCTAAAATGCAAGGAGTTTGATATGATATACACAGAGAAATCCATCTTTCCTAGTGTCACTACCCAGGCAATGAAGTTGAGCACTCTGTTGCTTTGAGAAACCTGAAGTTCTTAGGATGTTTCAGGAACTGTGTGCATGCAATGTTATGAAAATGAACCTTATTTATTTAAATGAAACTGTATTTTAAAGGATTTTTTGTTTTGACTCCTGAGATTTTCATAGCCACTGAATGTAACAATCCTTCCAGATATACATAACTACAAGGGGACTTGGGTTTTAAATTAGGGATTCCTAAGTGAATTTGAAAATCCAGAGGGAAGTTACAGCATAATGAGATTATAGCAGGGCAAGTTGTTATAGCATATAATAAAATTAATATGTAACACTGGCATTTTTGCTGTTGTTGGTGTTTTACATTGACCCTATAGCAATGCTAAAATGTCATAGTAACACAAATGTGAGCCATACAACTCGGTAAAAATGATGGTTCATACAGAAGAAAGATGTTACAGTTCTTTTTGGAAGGATAAATCTCTCAGAGACAGAGATTTTTAGATTATTATGTATTGCTCACCATAGAAGCATCTCTCTGACAAAGAAATTACATTAATCTATCTGTCACCAGGTATATATTTTCCTGGTGATAGAAGGATGATTCTTATGGAAAAATCCATGTTTATTTGCTTACTTCAGTTCTAGACCAGTCTATTTTTATCCGACCTTCATTTTTTAAACTACCTGAAATTGATGTTTATCTGGAATACTTACATACTTACTAATACTTACTTGAAGGTCCCCTTTTCCCTTTTTGTGGCCATACTTGTTGCAAGTATTCAAATCTAAGCAGGATTAGAGATTTGCAACTTTAATCATTCCCTACATTACTCCACATCCCACTGAGGGGCGACGTAGGGAATTCCATCTTCATAGGAATCCCATTTCTGAAGTAGACTAGATTTTTAAGTCTATAGCAGCATTAAATATGAGTTCTGAATTTAGTCCTGCAGTCCTAATTCTGCAAAATGTGAGGCAGAATTTTGTCACGTTGAAAATGATGAATTACACTGGTGTCTTGAGTCAAATCAAAACATGTTTTCAATGCAAATTAAAGTTGTGGAAGGTCTTTCCCTTCTTTTGGTTCCTGTAAGTATAGTTTAGCCCTAGCTTAAGCAACACTTCTCTAATTCTACTGAGTACAAGAAAATGTAAGTTACCAACAGTCTGTAGTTTACACTTGGGTCGCTGTAAGTCAGTCTGGAGTCTTGAGAACACAGGAACTTTTTGTTTGGGGTTGAGAAAGTTTGTAAATAAAATGTGTGTTTGTTCATATTTTGAATGGGGAGGTAAAGCCTTCCTTGTCCCTAGAAGGACTGAGAATTGTCAGGAGTTGCAAAATGTTTAGCCTACTCCATTTTTTCTAATATAATAAAGCATTTATTGTCTGAAGCAGCAGACTAAAGTGTGGTAATTCTAGAAACAGGTGCTTTTAGATGTAGAACTATTATTTTATAGATTGTTGGAAATACCTTGCTCACTGAGATTTACTGTTATGATTAAACGCACATTTATCCTTACCTAAAAAATGCCTGGTAGAAAAAAAAGGACAGATCTTTCTTGAGCTCATTATTATAACCATGAAAGTCAGCAAAACAATATAATTCTAAGCAAATGAGAAGAGGAAATCCCCTGTTTGTGGTAAATGAGAATTAATTCATTTTGAACCTGAAGAAAGGTACTTCATTTTTAACCATCACAAACTATTCAACTGCCAATGACTAATGTACAAGAAAAGAAATGCAAGAGACCAAATGTAGCTATTTGTCTAGAGAAATTTTCCCTATTGTGAGAATAGCTGCTTCAAGTCTCTTACAGCTCTGTGGATGTTTTGCTAGTTTTTAAAAATTGGAAGATGCATGACTGCACAGTCATTAGAGCTTCAGATCTTAAGTTACTGTAATTAATCTATTAAGTTAACGAAGTTACTGTACACTGTAACTTCGTTATTAATTGTTCAGAAGGCATTGTATACTGCTTATCATTACAGAAATTCGTATCTGATTTTTTCTTCTCCTCAGCCACCAGAAAAAGAGGGTGGCCTGCCTCGCCAGGTAGGCAATAAGACGGAGTGTGGCCTCTTGGGATTTGTCCTGGATTTGAAGCAGGATTATGAGCCTGTTCGAGACCTCATCCCCGAGGAGAAACTCTACAAAGTTTACACGTTCAACTCTGTCAGAAAGTCTATGAGTACTGTCATTAAAATGCCAGACGGTAGTTTCCGAATGTACAGCAAAGGAGCTTCTGAAATTGTTCTGAAGAAGTAAGTTCAATGGATCAGCTGCTGTGGTTTTCCAAAATGCAAAACATTCTGACACTAATAAGACATAAGTGACAATTTCAATATTTGTGATTTGCTACTTACAGTAGAAATATGATGCAACTTACTAGTATAAACTGTTACTGTACTTTTCTAAAAATTTTTTTTAAGTGCTCACTCTTGCAAAACTGGCTTATTTTTCTTACCATTGGCTAGCCAAAGAATTTGGTCTACATTTAGTAGTTTGTGCATGGATTCTTTACATTCAACCCATTTGGAAAAATAAGGATTTTTCAATTTTTTATAAGTTGTCAGCTCATTAATTACGTGGGTATGGAGAAGATAATGGATGAAGGGTTCTTGGTGTCTCTCTGATAAGTGACAAATTTTCTGATGTGAATCTTCTTGCTTAATACAGAAATTTAAAGCTTGCCATCAAAAAAGGAAAGTTTTGAATGAAACGAGCTGATACAAGGAAATACGTCCCAGCAGCAAATACACATTCAACTTTTTTTTTTCCTTCCCGTTTTCTTAAATAAAACAGATGTTCCAGGATCCTTAATGCAGCTGGTGAACCTCGTATCTTCAGACCGCGTGACCGAGATGAAATGGTGAAGAAAGTGATTGAACCTATGGCCTGTGATGGACTGAGAACTATCTGTGTTGCTTTCCGAGACTTTAACAGCAGCCCAGAGCCTGACTGGGACAATGAAAATGACATATTATCTGACCTGACTTGCATTTGTGTTGTTGGCATTGAGGACCCAGTAAGGCCAGAGGTATGTCAAATTCTTATGTTATAAAGCGCTTCTCAGAGAACTGAACATAAATTGAACTGCAAATTTCTTGCAGTTTTTATCTTTTCTTTGTTTTTTTAATTAGCTCGGTCAAAGAAGATGGAAGTGAGCTGTAGAAATAGACTTTACTTGATAAAAAGTCAAATAATTAACTTGATAAAAATCAAATATTAATCAACCAGTATTTAAATCAAAATAGGGCTTTTTGAACTACAGGATGGAGATGACTTAACCTCCTCTCAAGGAGTAGTATACAGGAGGACTGATCAGCAGAAGTTCTGTTATGCTTACAGATAGACTTGAAGAATTTTCCTTCAAGTTATGTGGCAACATGCAACTCTGAAAGTAGAGAAAGGATGTGCAGTGATTGTAATTACCGTAGTTATAACTGCAATGCACTTACTTTCCACAGAAATTACATGCAGTCTTGGAGTTTTGTGTTTTACTGTAACAATTGCCATGTTACTAATTGTCTTAAGATTGTAACTGGTGGCTACTCAAGGAAGCTGTCCTTAATGTTGTGTTTGGACAAGGAAAAGCTTTGCCATGCAAAGGCTGAGGATTTCATGCATACTATACATAAATAGCTTGTAAAAATATGGCTAAAATTTCATCTCAACTAAGCTGAGAAAATGAATATTTGGTGTGCACACTGGAAGCATGTGCCTGCTACTATACTTGTAAATTATATTACTGTAGTAATGCAAAGGGCAGATTAAGAGGTAGAAACTGTTTCCAACCTGTGTATATGGTGGTCAATAATTAATCTTGACAGTGGAGAATTAATTCCATTTTAGAGTTTAGAAATAGTGGCAGAAGGTAAGTCCCAAAATTGAAAGTGCTGAGCATAAAATGCAACCGTGAGTGTGTGGCCACGGCTGCTGTGTAGGCACAGCTGCAGCCGCGCAGTGTACAGTGAGAGCACCTGCCCCAGCACCTTCTGCAAATGGGGGAGCCATTAATGCTCTCCTGTTTTGCTCCCAGAAATCCACTCTTCGATTCTGCTGTTACTTCAGTAGGTGATTAATGACTATGGTTTGCTCTGGAGTGGTCATTACTCAAATTTCTTTTATACAAAAAGAGTGGGTTCTGATACTGCAAAAAGTAAGTATTTTGGTACTGATGTTTGTCTTTTTTATTCTTCTGTCTCATTTTACATTTTTGCTGAATGTCCAGATCTTTGTATTTGATTCACTGAGAACTGGTGGCAATGCTAGACATGTTAGGAATTTTTTTTTTTTTCACTAAACCAGCAAAAGTATAAATTAATCTGATTAATTTCCCTGAGTCCTTTATAAATTAGACTTACATACTTCTGACTGCTGTAACTTCAGAAACTAGCATGATATAATTACAACTACAGGTACCAACTGCATAACTATGCTTTGTGTGATAATGGACTTCCCTGGGGTTTTGCCAGTATCAAGAAGGTTATAATACAAAATAAATCTTGCTTAGGTGGAAACTTTATGATAAACTCCTTATCTCCACCATCATCAGATAAACAGCATTCACTTTATATGTCATCAGATGCTCTTTTGCTGCTAATCCATCTGCCCCTACAGCTGACATGGCAAGTCTTTGAAAATGTTTAAAAACGTTCTTAAAATGTTCTGTCTGCAATGATCCCTTAATGCTCTAGCTCACATATATGTGAACTCTGAAAGTTTTTAACTCTCAGTGACCACTGGAACTGTGAATCACTTCTCTTTACCTTCAAAATTGATTGATGACACATGCTGTTAGAAAATAGCTTTTAAGTCAGGTTATGTGTGGTATGACAGACAGAGGGGATGGGTAGCAGTGGGATTTGCAGTTATTATTGAAAATAGCTCCAAACTATCCTTTCATGTGATTATTATGAGTGTGTTTTATGAGAACTGTTCTCATCTCATAGGGAATAATTTCTTAGGAGCTTGAGGTAAAAATGAATAGTTTTGCTAAAAATAAAGAGGTCAAGTCTGACTTCTTTGTAAAGGATCAAAGAATATGAAGGCAAGAAAACATTTTATTTCTAAATAATTATTTGAATAATGTATTGAATTCCTCATAGTTTAACACCAGAATATGCAGTAACAGTTCTTACTTTCTTGCAAGATGCGCAATTATTGTTTATAATTTCAGAATTTTACCAAATGTCAGTCAGTTGTTGTAACGGGTCTGCATGGCAAGGTTTT